TGGGAAATTTTACACAGAAGTGAGTAGAAAACACGCCCTTGAAAGTAAAGTAACTGATCAAACCACCTTGACTCTTCTGTAATTTAGAATTCCTCTGCAAAACCCTTGCTGTGATGGCATCTTCAGTGGGTGCTTCTGTCTGTATATGTGTACATATAATCAGAGTTGGATACATTAAACATACACTGTTTTTTGTTTTTTCCAGAGCTGAGGACCGAACTCAGGGCCTTGTGCTTGCTAGGCAAGTGCTCAACCACTGAGCTAAATCCCCAACCCCACATACACTGTTTGAAAACAGAAATTTTGGCAAAGAAGAGACATCTCAATATTGTAGCTTTCTTCAGTTCATGTGGCACTCTGATTTTCTGATATCCTCAACCTATTTTAATAAAACATAGGCATAGTGACTCATTAAAAATACATGCCATGTTGTACACTAGCAAAAAACAAACAAAACAAAACAACAAGTTGAGAATCCACATGCTCATCTCAACAGAAGGAACATGCCACATAACCCTAATTTACAGGCCCACCTTCCAGTAAACCCAGTGAAAGGCAGCCTGACAGGGCGGCTAGGAGACCCTGTGCAGCTGACACAAGCGGCCATGATGAAAATGGTGACACTCAGCAGTGAGCAACTGAACCCTGGGATGGGGAGCAGGCAGGCGCGCCCGCTCATTTCTTCCATTCAACAGGACGGTAGAGGGCACAACCCCTCAGATATCAGAAAGAATACAGACCAAGAAGGGAGTCGTTTTCATTAGCTGATCACTTCACTAGGAGCAAGAAATCCACAAAAGAAGGAACCTACGAGGACTGACGAGCAAATCAGTGAACCTGCAGGACACAAACTCAGAATGCAAAATTCTACCGCTCCCGGGAAACAGCAGGAGCAACTGGGAAAATCAAGTTTAAGAATTACAGTAGCATCACAAGGCACAAGACACCTAATGAAGCAGGTGTTGAAACTGAAGAGGACTAAAGAAGCCCCAGATCCTTGGAGGGCTACACAACGGTCAGGAATTGGCTGGAAGACCCAACACAATAGCCATGAACCGGCCCTGAAGACCCAACACCACTGCATAGCCAGAGCTCTTCAAACTGGCCTACAGAGTCAATGTGATCCCCCCCAAAAATCTAACTGATTTTTTTTCTTTCTGTACCACTCCCCCTCCCCCCTCTCATCATTATTATTTTGGTAGAAATTGGAAAGCCTCTAACATTTATGTGAAAGAATAAAGTTCCTAGATGAGCCATATAGTCTTTCAAATGGAAGGATAAAGTGGAAAAATCTAAGGAGAGCTGTTTTAAGACTTCCTGAAGAGGTGTAATAAATAATAGCACTGGTGTATGTATAAAGGTAGCAAAATGAATCAATAGAAAAGAAAGACATTAACTCTTGGAAGTTTGGTTCCAACAAAGGTACCAAACCACTCAGTAAGAAAGGGTACCTTCAACAAAGGCTGTCAGACAAACCGTGTCTACACAGAATAGGACCAACCTCATACCTCACCGCAGCCACGGGCTAATGCAACTCAACTGCAGACCCAAATGTGGAAGTTAAAATGATCCAAAACACTTCTAAAAGGCAAGGAAGAGAGCCTCACCATTATGAGGTAGGCGAGGATACCCCCGAGGAAGGATCCAGAAAGCACCTACTGTAGAAAAGAATGATAAATTATGCTTCACAAAAGAAAGTCACCTGCTCATCAGTGGGTTCTGCATGGAAACTACCAGGTCTGCCAAAGGCTGGGAGAAAACATCCGTGTGATGAAGGATGGGGACTAAGTCAAATGGACAAAGAATTTCTACAGCCAAGGAAAAAGGACAGGAGAGAGAGAGAGAGAGAGAGAGAGAGAGAGAGAGAGAGAGAGAGAGAGAGAGAGAGAGAGAGAGAGAGAGAATATGCATATATATATCACCCACACAAATATTTTCCAGACTAAAATAAGGAAAGGGACAATAAGTCAATGCAGAGGGGGTGAACATCACCAGTTACCAGGGACGTAGAAGTCAAAGCCACAAATTGCCACTGTCCACACACTAGAACAACCAGAAACAGATGTACCCAATGTACCCAAACCCCAGAATACTGGGGCCAGCACAGTCCCTGGGGAGGCTGAGATGCTATGGGCATTTGGGAAAATGACATGTCAGTTCTAATAAAGAGGAAACAAACCTATTCCCCGGTAGCTCCACCCCTTGGTATTTATCCTCAAGGAATGACCCCCAAGCCCACAGAACGCATCACACAAGCCTTTCACAGTAGCCCCATTCATGTCAGCCTGAAGCTGGAACTGACCCAAGTGAACAGGCAAGTGATCAAACAGCCTTGGAGTTTGCACAGTGAGGATCCATCAGTAGTAAAAAGGAGCTGATGTTATGACACACGTGAGTCTTAAAAACGTTTTGTGAGTGAAATCAAAAGCAGACATAAGTGCACACATGGGCCTCAGGAGAACTTACACAGTCAGCCTTCTGGAGTCTCATCAGAACCAGGGACACATGCCCAGCCATGGCCACCACCCAATCACATCTTCACACCTACCTCCTACCTCTCTCTCCCAAAGTCTCCCCAACACAGATCGAATCCTGAGGCCACCAAGACACTGCCTCCTGCCCAGCCTTGCAGAAGCCATCCTCTGCTGAAACTAGACCAAATCTCATGTTGTATTTTAAACAGGTGTTTCTAAAATCTTCAGAAGTGAGTACCAGAGAAACATAGTCAACAAACATAAGTCTAAGACAGAGAGAAAAACCAAATAAAAACCAGGAAGAGATGTAGGGAGCCCTGTGGGAGGGAAGCACCAGGATGTTGGGGAAGAAGTTAGGGTGCAAGTGGGGCTACCCTTCCTGTCACGTGCCAAGGGAGGCTGGACAGCTTCAGGGTGGAGGTAGGCTTACAGCTGCCGGGTGCAGTTCAGGACCCACTCCTCATCTTACTAACACCATGACCTTCTCAACACTCTCTGGGAAGAAAAGGAAGCAGCACAGACACTGAAGCCCAGCTGCCTTTGGCCTTGTGAGTGATGCCTCTCTAAGTGCATTCTGGGTAGCATCCTCATTGGCACTTGGTAGCAGCTGCCTACAAACAGCCCAATGCCTGGGCACCAGCATCAGGAGTAGAGATCAAATGGTCAGGATGGTACCCACCCAGTAGAACCTCTGATACTCTCTCTACATGGCGTGGCTACATAGTGTGCATTAGGGCCACAGTAGATACCTACCTGAAAGTCACCGCCGGATGCAGATGTCAGTCCAGACTCTGGGATAGAAAGATCTCAAGGACTTTCACAGATGGGAAACTTGGCCCCAGAGAAGCTCACTAGGCAAAAAGTCACACAACAGCCGGGCATAGAACCAGACCAAGAACAGTGCACAGCCCAGTGCAAACAAAGGATTGAACCTACCATCACAATAGACTGCACCCCAGCCTTACCACTCTGCCAGCAGGGAGGAATTCCTTGGGAAGCTGCTGATACCCCCACTCAAGCACTAGACACCTCTCCCCCAATCAGATATCCTCAGGGGAGCCACCTGCCTGTGCTGCTACTGAAGGTCTGGGACCACCCAGACAAGGGGCCTTGATGCTGTGACCTCCATAGGCTGTCCCTCTTCCTCTACCCCAACTCTTCTCAGTCTCAGAAAGGGGGATAATCCCCATAGTTCTACAGTGAGATGTCCACACAGGGGAATTAGAAGAGACTCCTAAACACCCCATCCAACTATTCCAGAGGCCATGAAAGTCCTACCTCATCACAACTTATGTGTCCACCTGTATAGGAAAGGGTGAAAGCTGAGGCCCTCTGGCTCATACACTTAGGGATGGATCTTCCCCGACTCTCATCTGCAGAAAGACACCTGGAAGTCACCAGGTAGGCTGACAAGCATCCAGAGAGTGGAGGACCAATGGTACCAGATGGAATCCCTTTCTATCCTTGTCAGGACGGAAGGAAGGGATTATGGGTCATGGTCACCAGGAAACCCGAGATGCCTGGGCCTGGTTTTCAGATCTTCTGCCTTGCACAGTAGCATGCCTCCTGCCTTCTTTGCTTTCTATCACCATAGCATAAGGGTTGTCTTGCCTAGGTGCCCTCCCACCAGGGAGGTTAGACCTTGGTCAACTAGGAGGAAAGCTACATCCCAGGACAGATACTAGGGTGGTAGGTGCAGAGTCAGGAAGTCTGCACATGCAGGTGTTTGGAGAAGGTGGGGACAGGCCTCACTGCAGTTCCTTGACAAACACCACCCACTTTACTGATGCCCAATATGAGAGCCAGTCCTCTGAGCTACTGTGAGAGAGCCCGGTGTGGTGGTATTGTGTTCCCTGAAATATTGTGCACGCTAATAAACTTATCTGGGGTCAGAGAACAGAGCAGCCACAATATTAAACATAGAGGTTAGGCAGTGGTAGCACACGCCTTTAATCCTAGCATTCCAGAGGCAGAGATCTACCTGGATCTCTGTGTGTTCAAGGATACAGCCAAGCATGGTGACTCACGCCTTTAATTCCAGGAAGTGATGGCAGAAAGCAGAAAGGTATATAAGGCGTAAAAATCAGGAACTAGAGCTGGTTAAGCTTTTAGGCTTTTTAGTAGCAGTTCAGCTGAGACTCATTCTGGATGAGGACTCAGAAGCTTCCAGTCTGAGGAAACAGGATCAGCTGAGGAACTGGCAAGGTGAGGTGGCTGTGGCTTGTTCTGCTTCTCTGATCTTCCAGCGTTCACCCCAATACCTGGCTTCAGGTTTGATTTTATTAATAAGACCTGTTAAGATTCCTGCTACAGCCCGGCCTGGTTGGTTTCTGCTTCTGAAGAGGCTTTCCAGGCTAGTCTACCTCATAGTCTACCTCATGGCCCAGGCTAGACCCAGACACCTGATAGCCTAGACCCAAGCTCGCCTTGCTGGCACCTTCCCTAGCAAAGCTCCAGAGTCCTGGCCAGTGGCTAACCCCTGCCCGCTCCCAGGTCTCCCCATCCCCAGCTGGAGAAGGGACTCACTGATGGGCGCATGTAAGGCGACGTGCTCCTGGTAGGGCGTGTAGTACTTGTACTGCTTCCCACAGAACTCACAGGTGTAATTGCCGGTTTCTGCAGGAGGAGAAGGAGGTATGAGAACAGGGGCCTGCCCTCCCCCACCTCAAACCAAACATCAGCATTTCTTAGCCCCCCCAAACTCCTCTTCATTCTGGGACCACCAACCAGATTCAACTTGGACTATGGAGTTGTACTGTCTGGTTCAAATCCCAATGTGGCATCTCCTATAACCTCTGACAGTTAGTGCTGTGTGTGGTGGGGGTGCAGGGAGGGGGGGACAGTTCCCTGTACACATGTGGGCATAGGTTATCATACGTGTGGAGGTTCAAGGTCAGCTTTGGGTCCTTTCTTCCACAGCTGTTTATTTATTTATTTTTGAATAATAAAGGGCCTCTTGCTGAACCTAGAGCTCACTGATTTGGGGGAACTGGCTGGCCAGTGAGCTCCAGGAATCCACCCTTTTTTGCCTTCTCAGTCTGGGATTAGAGGCACAGGCTGCTGCACCTGGCTTTTTACATGGGTCCTGGGGATCTGAACTCAGGTCCTCATGCCGGCATGCAAGCACTTTGCCAACTGAGCCCACTCTCCAGCCCCTCACCACTTCGTGCCTCCATTGTTCTACCTGTGAAAGGGAGGGAACAGAAGGGCCATCTTCTTGGATTGCTGTGAGGTTAACTCTGAGCATGAAATGATTAGAACAATGCCTGGCAGCCTCAACGCTCTGGGGACCCCAGCTGACCTGCAGTCAACCTTTCCATCAACCTTCCTGCAAGCCCTGCCCATTGCAGGGGTCACTTAGCTCCAGGACTTTGTCTCCACCCACCAGGGCTGGGGTCACACTTCTTAGTCCTCACTAGGCCTGAATATTTGTTTATTTACTTATTAATCATTGCATGTGTCTGGTGTACATGTGGGTGCATGTGTGCTACAGAGTACATGGAGAGGTCGGAGAACAACATGGGTTCTGCAGGACAAGTTCAGGTATTAGGCATACAAGGCACACACTTTACTCCATGAGCCACTGTGCTAGACTTTTATCTTTACATCTCTCTAGGTTCTGCCTAAATTCTCCTTTAAAGATGTCTGGTGTAAAATAGTTCATCTGGGGACAGTGCTGATAAAATACTGATAAATACAAGCGCAAAGCTTTTAAAAGAAACACATGTTATCTTCTGCGATCCCTACACCAAGGGGAACATCTTCCCCCAGGACATCACCAGCTGCCCCACCCTGCCCCCACATCCCCTTCACCCTCCTCTAGGGCGTTTCTCTGCTGCTACCATTCATTTGTCTGGCTCCTATGGCCTTGAATTAGCCAGCCCTGATCAATATCCTCTTTGTAACCTGGTGTATTCTATCGACAATACTTTGTGGACATCTTGCCCAATCAATAAGTATTGATCTCCAGGACTGCCTTTATCGGCTGCATGGCTCCCATGGGACTTGGGAATTTGCTGAGCCAGTTGCCCTCCACCAAGGGACATTCAGATTGTTTCAAGCCACACACCCCATCCCCTTGTTAAAAAAAAAAAAATGCTGTAATACACATCCTTGCAGGGGCTTTTGCATATTTGCTTATTAGTTTGGCACACGATTACAAAATAAAGCTCACTGCTCAGGAGCCTGCCTGTGACTTCCTAGGGATAACGAGGTGGGGGAGGGGCATGCCTTCTGGAGGCTTCTGGTAGCACATACTGCATCCCTACCACCTCTCTATTTTGCATATCTGACCTGGGAGGGACGGCCCAATTACATTACAGATTTTATTTTCCATTTCCTTGATTTCTAAGGAAATTGTTTTTCTTGTATGATTAAGTATGGTTTTTCTTTTGTGAATTTCTTTTACAAATCACTACATTATTTATAGATTCATGATATCAACATTTTGTTACATATATTACAGGCAGCTTTGTCTCAGCTGGCTTCTTAAGTCTCTTTTGATTTCCTCTCCCAACATGGAGGCTTTAGGATTACAGGTAGTTACACAATTTTTGGAGTTGACTCATGAATGCTGAAAAGGTATGCCTTTTAGTTCTTGTCAAGATTGTTAGATCAACTGTATTAATTATATTATTCTAATATTATATAACCTTGTCTGCTTGCTCCAGGAAAGTCTAAAGGCTGTGATAGACCCTCCCATTCCACTGCTTTCCTGGATTTACTTTGTTATTTAGGTACATTATTGCTTGGTGTAGGAGAGCTTGTGGCTCAAACTCTCTACCGGAGGGCTGGGAATGGAGTGGTCAGCTGAACTTGCCTAGCCTGCAGGACATCCTAGGTTCCCTCCTCAGCTCTGTGGAAACTGAACATGGTACTAACTCTTGCAATCTGAGCAACAGGAAGGCAGAGGGAAGAGGACCAGAGGTTCAAAGTGATCCTCATCTACACATGGAGCTCTAAGTCATCCTGGGCTACATGACATGAGACCCAGTCTTAACACACCGCTCCTAAGTGGTTCCTGGTCCACGGGAGCCTGACAGAAACCCAGTATCTCTGGATTTGCCCAAGATCTGCTGAGAGAAAATTTCTACGGGTGTGGCCCATAAATTTATGTTTTAACAAGGACATTCTAATGCATGGGAAAGTTCAGGAAGCATCGTTCGAACATTTAATTAAACCATTTTATTAGTTCGTCTGGTATTAATATTATTAAGTTCCTAGTGATCCGTCAGGTCGTGATTTCTACTTGTTTGCATGTGTCTAATGACATGTTCTTACATGTTCCTATACTTTCATTCATTAAGCCGGGACGGCACTAAAGTGGAGGCTGAGCAGAAACTGTCATGTCCCTGTCTTCAAGGAGCCGTGTGGAAAGGGAAACGGAACGCTCAAATCATCACACGACTTTGAAACTGTACCTGTACTATGTACACTCAAGGAAACAGTGTCTCAAAAAGCCACGGTGAGGCCTCTAATCTCTTTAAAGGAGTAGAGAATCAAGTCCCTGAGAAAGACAGGCTGAAGCAAAGGGAAAAGATAAGGAATGAACTAAGTGGGACACTCGTAAACCATTAGTGATTGGGATTATTTCCAATGGACTTGACAGCTCCTCTTTTCTCACCGGAGAGATTACACCGCTTGCTTTTATTGCGATGATCGATTTGGATTTTACATGGTGAACATTCCTAATCCCCAACCCTGAAACGCTCCAATAAGACGCCACAGTAGGAAACTCCATGCTCTGAATGTCTGTGTCACGCATAACGTCATTACAGATATTTAATGAAAATTACTTAGAGGTTATCTATACCCATATATGAAAGGTAAGTACATTCTCTATTTAGACTCAGGTCCCATCCTAGGATAGTACATTATGATACGCAAAAATTTTAAAATCCCAAATCCAATAGGTCTTAAGCATTTTAGCTTTGGGACGGCCAACCTGTGCTCATTTTCTGTTTTTCGAGCCTCACCCTCTCTGGTTTGTTCTTCTGGGCTTTGGCTATTCGGGATACGAGCTCTTTGCTTTTCCATTTCCTCCTGTGTTCTATTACTTTTAAATATTCCTTTTTATTTTAGAAAGCATATAACATATATTTCTTTAATTGTTAATGGGGGGGATTTAAAGCATTTAAAGTCTTTCACTGCTGAGAAAGGGCGCTTAACCTGGTGCTTATTAAACTGAAAAAACTATTTATTTGTATTTACATGTCTCTGTGTGTATGCTACATGTGCGTGGGTGCCCACGGAAGCCAGAAGAGGTGTATTCTATCAACTGCTGGATGTGGGTGCTGTGAGTTGAACTTGGGTCCTGTGGGAAAGCAGCCTTTAACTACTAGCCCTTTCTCTCGACCTCTTCTGAGACTTCAGCACATGTAAGAATCCCCTACAAAGTCTCCCAGCATAGATCAACCTCCGGGTTCTACTTTAGAGATTCTAATGCCACAGGTTTGGGCTGGAGTCCAGGAATTCACATTTCAGGTAAACTTCAAGGAGCGGCTGATCCCGCTGGGCTGGGACCACACTCCGAGGGTGGGAGCAGCCAGTCCTTCGCTGTACACAGCATTGCGACACTTTAGTGTATTACTCCATGTCTCTCTTCTTTCCATTTTTATTCTTTTGGGGGGGGGAAGGCAGGGTCTCACACAGCTCAGGCTGGGCCTGAACTCACTATGGAGCTGAACATGGCTGTGGCACGATGGTGTCCCTGAACTTACTATGAAGCTGAAGGCGGCTATGGCATGCACCACCATGCCTGATTTATGGGGTGCTGGAGATCAAACCCAGGATGGGTTTGTGCATGCTAGGCGAGTACCTTACCTACCAACTGAGCTAATCCTGCTCCTTTTTGGTAACTCACCTCTATATTTAGGTCAATCATTAGCATATACACTCAGCTTCCATAATTAGATTTACAATGGCTAAAACTTACTTGTTCAGAGTTCACGGTCCTCTTACACTACAGCTTCCCAAGCACCTACATGTGTTCCATCAATCAGTTCCCTAAGTATGTTCTTTCAGAAAGTTTTGATTTGCACGCCAATTCCAATTGGCCCAGGTGTGAAATTCTTACCGCCTCTTTCCTTCCAAACATATCCACTTCCTTTGGATATACAATGTTGCAGAGAAGTCTCAAGATGTCTACTTGGAACTCAGAGGTAGATACAACTTATTTTTACAGGTAGATATCTCAATTTCCTCTTTCTAGCTACACCTTTAAAGCCATTAAGATCTGCTGATGCTTAGGGTCTCCTTATGTTGACTCTGCTTGACAGTATGACAGACCTTTCAAACTCACACATACAGAGCTCGGTGAGCTCAGAAACGTTTTCTTCCATTAGCTCTTTGCACTCTTTGTCTGTCACAACTGGTCACAGCATCAGTCACCTGGAGCTGGTCCCATTTTCACACATTTCTTGCGGTCTTCCGTGACCGCTGTCCTTCACGTTGCTAATCGGTTTTGTGCAGACCAATTCTGTCCTTACGGTCATGCAGCTGTTCATACTGCTCCTGTGTTTTGTTTTCCCCTTTCTCATCTTACTCTGCTCTGTGCCTTTTCATCTTATCCCGATGTCTTTTCATCATACAATCCCAGGCTCCTTTACCACAGGGCCATCCAAGGGTGGACTGTCCCTCTCCTATCCACACGCTCGGGCATTGGGCTCCATTGTGATGCCATCTGGAATTGGGGCCTTTGAGAGGCAATGAAGATTCGGTGAGATCATGACGGGAGGAACCACATGATGGGATTAATGTCCTTAGGAGAGACACCAGATCTCAGTCTCCCATCTCCCTTCCCATCACCCTTAATGATGACATAAGGTCCTCTGCAAACCAGGAAGAGACACCTCACCAGAACCCAACCCCACCGGGCTTCCAGATTTCAGAGCTGAAGCAGTTACTGCTAAGCCTTCTGGTTATGGGTTTGTTTGTTTTATGGCAGGCCAAGTGGGAGATGAGTGGTAACCTCCTCCTCCTCTTCCTCCTGATACAGGATTCTTGCTTTGTAGTCCAGGCTGGCCTTGAACTTGAAATCCTCCTGCCTTAGCATTCTTAGTACTAGGCTTACAAGTGTGTGCCACCACATCAAGCCTGTTATAATTTCTTATATGTGATGGAGGCTGTACAAAAACGTTCTTGTCTAGACTTTGTGACAGTGTTTAGAGATACACTCTTCCCTGGGCTTCTCCTGCCCCTCTTTCTTGTCTGGTGGAGTTCTCAGCGTTGTTGAGCTTTTGCTTGTTTTCAAGCTGCCTCCCTTATCCAAGCATAAGGGTCACTCGAGGCCAGCTTTCCTGCCTCAATAGATGATGGGAACTGTTCTCCGCGTCCCTGCGGCCCACAGCCACAGCAGTCATCCTCAGCCTGCAGCTGACGGGCATGACACCCGACCAACACTCTTATAGCTGCGGCCCTCCTGCTCCTCACGGCCTTGCCTCTTCCTCTCCCATTTGCTCAGCTGAGGCCATGTGGAAAGCACTTTCCTCCGGGAATCCTCCTCTTCCCCGGGCCTTTGGAGCTTTCCTTGGGGTAACCAGGCTCCCTTGTCCTATGCCTAGTTTATTTTTTTAGGGATCCATGGCACCGGCCTTTTCAAGAAGCAGCATCCTCCACTCGCACTCAGTCTCACTCTACGGAGACTCTGACATGGCTGCCGCAAACAATCTTACTCCCACTGGGGAGAGGCGGGGGTGTGCCCACTGCCAACCCTGGTTGAGTTTCCTCAGGGCAATCCCAGTGGACTCCGTGGGGAGTTCTCCAGATCCTAGGAAGGGCTTCCTGTTGGATCAGGCACAGAACACGGTTCACCCTGCCCTGCATCTTGATGGGCAGTCTGCAGGTCCCACTTAGTTAATGTGACAAGGACCATGCTAATTCACTTACAACAGAGTCCCACCCTATCCCTGGGGCCATCCTGAAAGGGAGGGCTGCCATCACTCCACTGTGGAGTAGATCTGACAGACTTCAGAGACAGGGAGGGTCCCACGCAGCTAGGAGTAGAGTTGGGATGTAGGTTTGGGCCTGCTCTCGAACACCTGATGGCTTCCCAGCGACATCCCTTGTCTCACACCCTGGATAAGAGACAGGAACTGGGCTCGGCACTGCTATATACATTCTCTTGCCGTGGAGAACATGCCACTGTTCCTGTCCCCCGCTTCCAGGTGAGCCAAAGCATGCTGAGCAGGGCTAAGCACCTGTTCCTGCTTCTCCTACTGTCTCACTGTGTGGAGATCTCACTGTCTTCTCAATCCACGAGGCGATTTTCACCCTCCCAAGTATCCAATGTCGCGTGTTTACTATGCACTCGACAAGCAGTTTGATCCCCTCTGCAGACACCATGTCCTCTGCAGGCTCCTGAATGATTCAGGAAGAAGCAGAGAGAAATCTAAGAACTACCCCCTGAGTATGCTGAGACAGCACGAAGGAAAGGCCCCACGGGCAGCATCTAGAACCTTCTGAGACCCCAGGCAGAGCTCCCTTCTGCACAGCATACCCCTCTTCCGTGTTAGCTCATCTGATTTCCTCACCCCCGAATTCTGTTTCGGTGTGTGTTTTTGCAAACAGCCTTGGATCCTTAAACAGCTGAAGACAATAAAGCTCTCTTCTTGCAGGATAGTAACTGAGGCACAGGAAACAGGTGAAAGGAACAAGCTGGAACTTCTTGAAGGGCTGGATGGAAGAGTCTCCCTCTTTGTGGTCCTACACTGACCATGGGGGGGGCGTGTCTCTCCCTATCTAGTCTCCTCCTGGCAGCCACATGGTCACCTCTCCATTCTGAACTCTGGCTCAGCCCTATAAGGACCAAGTCTGCTATGGAATAATCCTGTACATTGTGAAAATGCGTTGCTCTCATTGTTCATAAAGAAGCTGACTGGCCAAGAGTTGGGCAGGAAGTGACTAGGCAGGAGACCCAGACATAGAGGAGGCTGGGAAAAAGAAGGATGGAGTCAGAGGGATCACCAGGAGACACAGAGGGAATAAGACATGCTGGAGGACAGGTAAAGCCATGAGGCACATGGCAAAAAAAAAAAAAAAATAGATGAATAGAAATGGGTTCATTTGGCCGGGCGGTGGTGGCGCACGCCTTTAATCCCAGCACTCGGGAGGCAGAGCCAGGCGGATCTCTGTGAGTTCGAGGCCAGCCTGGGCTACCAAGTGAGTCCCAGGAAAGGCGCAAAGCTACACAGAGAAACCCTGTCTCGAAAAACCAAAAAAAAAAAAAAAAGAAATGGGTTCATTTAAGTTGTAAGAGCTAGTTAGTAATAAGCCTGAGCTATCACCCGATCATATATAATTAATATTAAGGCTCTGTGTGTTTATTTGGGAGCCAGTAGTCCTGACAAAAAGCTCCACCTACAAAGTCTAGATACTCAGAGCCCTCTAAGATATGAACCCACCATTGTGTCTCCTTCCCTTGCCAGAACCAGCAGCCTCCCCTACCTCTGAATGTGATATCCCCTACCTCTGAACGCGACATCCCCTACCTCTGAACGTGACATCCCCTACCTCTGAATGTGACATCCCCTATCCCTGAATGTGACATCCCCTACCTCTGAACGTGACATCCCCTACCTCTGAATGTGACATCTCCTATCCCTGAATGTGACATCCCCTACCTCTGAATGTGACACAGGGCTCCATCCCTACCTGTATCTGCCCTGGAAGCTTCTTGGTTCTCATGCAGGACTTCTCTGACCCCTGAAGATCTGGATGCTCTGGGTTCTAACTATCTGTTCACTTGTCTACCATCCCACGCCCCTGATCTCCATGTGAATTACCCAAGTGCAGGGCCATGTCTGCCATCTACATCTGTACAACATCCAAGACAAGTCTGCTGAAAACACACAAGTTACAGGCGTGGTTCCTGTCCTGAGGGGTTGTATGGGATAAGTGTCTATAAGTGTCTGCGTCTACAGGTGGCTGCCCTCCTTGGCTTTGTTCACTGAGATGTCCCTCGAATGACTTCAGTCATCACCCTCTGAGCACCTAGTACGTTGTTCCAGGCACTGGGCTACAGCAGTAGCAGTGTGGGATCTCATTAACATCTCCCAAGTCTGCAGGGAGCATTTCTCTCACTACTATGGGAGACTGAAGTACAGGTAGCTAACGGACTGTGGGGTCACCATAAACGAATTGATGAAGTAAGACTGTGGACTGGCTACTTTCACTACCCTGACCTTGACCCCACACTGTCTGCAGTTCCTTGAAGGCTGAAGTCCTGAGACGGCTTAGCCCAACCAATAGGTGGGCAACAGGGCTGCAGGTTTGGGCCCCAGCCTTTCTAGCAGTGTGGCTCAGTCCGCCTCCCTCCCCCGACCCCGCCAGCCCTTGGCCCCAGGGTCCCGCATACTTGGTCCAATTTTCTGGAAAGGCTCCGGAGGCTCCTCCTTCACCTCATCCGTGGCCACAACACCTTGGTCAAAGGGGTCTGTGGGAGAACATATGGCCTTAGCATACTGGTCGGCCAGGACACAGGAACCCAGCTGGAGACAGGGAAAATGGACAGCCCCCAAGACTTACCTGCCCGATTCTCGGGAGCCCCTTCCACACTGAACACTGTACCCAGGCGGGAGGCGACAGCCGCAGGAGGAAAAAAGCAAACAGAAGGCCTGTGAGTCCCTGGCCACAGCTACCTCTTCCAGCCATGCCTAGCTTCATGGGGTTGCCTGTGCCACCAGGAGGCCTGACCTCCATCCTGGCCCATTCCTCCCCCTCACTGGGGGCAGCGGCCCACACCAGACACTTGCTGCTCACAACTCCTCAGCATGAGTGCCATAGCGGAGGAGTCTCACAGGTGTTGAGAGGGGAAAGGGAGGTGAGGGGAGACTGTGGGAGAGGCAAGCCTGGGTTACATCACGGCTCAGTGGCTGAGGTGTAGGGCTAGACAGGGAACCTCAAGTCCTTTCTGGGTCCCAAACCCTCTTTCTAGGAGTCTTAGAACTCTATAGATGAAAGACTTGAATTTAATTGTTCCAACCTCCGCCTCTATAAGATGCTTAAAGGACATCGTTCATCTTAACAAATTGGGTTAATTTCACTACAGCATGCAAACACTCAACATAAACTGTAAAACGGCATGACACAAAGTTTCAACATTTGACTCATTTTGACCTCAAAAAAAAAAAAAAAATCCAGCAGCAGTTTCATTTGGATCAGCCACAGAAGAGAACGTGGATATGCAGGGACATTGCCTCCCCAGAATCCTGCAGCAGAGATCCCTCTCCTCAGGGCTCTGGCGCTATGTGGGGACAGTGTCCCTGAGGAAGGCTCTTTCTCTGAGGTGACTCCCAAGAGTGAGGGGCCTGACTCACCATCCACAGCGTGGAGATCTCGGTGTTCCTGGAAGCAGCTGTAGTATTTGTATTTCTTTCCGCAGATGTCACAGGTGTACCTGAAATTGTCTGGAGGTGGGGGTGGGGTGGGGTGGGGGGAGGGACAGAATGACACTGGTCACTTGTGGTGAGGCTGCTGGTCAGTACACTAGACTCTGGAACCAAGACGGGACCAACCCGGTCTGGCCCCAACTGGAGGGCCCCACGGAGAACTTGATCCTGAGCCATCTGAGTCCAGGCACTGTCCACCTCTTCTGAACAGAGGCTACTCCTCCTCACTCCCTGGATCTCTGAGCAGCTCCTCCTCCATGCGTAGCCAGGTCTCCCTCCACACCTCCCTCAGCCTCCACTCCAGGGCCAAGTTAGAATGCATTCTGGGACTACAAAGCTTGGATTGTGACAACAGGTGTTCTTTGTGGAGATCCAGAACCACAAGAGACCTGGGAGCCCTGATTCCCATACCAATCCCTTAAACGCTCCCCGTGAGACCTAAGTTCTCCAGGACCTGGTTCTAGATGGGTCTCATCTCCCACCACAGAGGAGTATCCACCACTGCAGCTCCCATGGTAAGGCCAGATGTAACTGTGAACAAGGTGCTGCCCCAGGCCCTTCCCTCAGGTTCTCTCAACCAGTCTTTTCAATAGAGGGAAGAAAGAGTCTCCCATTAATGTATGAGCGAACTAAAGGGAAGTGATCGGCCCCAAGTCCTACAGTAAGGCACTCTGGCTTCAGAGGCACGCTGATGGCCCTTGCAGCTAGTGTTCACACCCTGCGTGACTCCTCTCGGGGGCTTCTGATTAGGAGAACATGGTCGAAGTGATGGGATGTCACTCTGGAAGTTGGGTGACAGGCAGCCAGGGTGTTGGCCTCGCACACACCACTTGTCCCCTGCTCAGTCTGTGGTTGGCTGCTGTGTTCTTAGTTCAGTCACAGGGAGGAGATGCAGGTGGCAAGGACTTGAGTTTGGCCCTCTGTGAGTAGCCAGTGGGAACTGAGGCCCTCAGAACAACAGTTTGAGAGGTACAGAGGCCTGAAATCCTCACCTTCTCACTCAAGCAAACCTAGGAGAAAACACCTACCGGCTGAACCCTGGGATGAGACCACAGCTCTGACCAAATCTGCCTGTAGTCCTGTGGGACTCTCGAAACCAGAGGACCCTGAAAAGCCACACTCGAATTCCCAACCATAAAAACTGGGAGAAAACCAGGGTTGGTTGCTCTGAATCATTAAGTTTTATAGACTTGACAGCTAACACTGGTCCAAGTTTGCCTGTTCCCTAGGCCTCCCACAATGAGGCTAGCAGCAACCAGACCTATACCTTTCCCTCCAGGGCACAACCTCTTGCTTCTGAACTGGCTCAGACCTGTTGAATTGTGTTCCTCTGGCTGACCTATGGAGGGCCCATCAATCTTATCTCCCAAGGTCCCTAGGCAGCATACAGAGGTACAGCAGCTTGTTCAAGGCTGTATGGAGAGAAGAAGAGAGAGCTAGGGACCAATATTCACTGAACTTCAAGCTAGAGCCGAGTCAGGGTTCCCAGCCTTTCTCTGCTGGGATAAACCGTGGTGGGGTGCTTTGCTCTGGACCCATTTCCTGCTCCTCAGCATCCAGTACAGGAAGGAGCCAACGGAATACTCCATGCCAAGACTGCACCACTCTGCAGAAGGGTGAGAAGGGTTCTGCTCCCCTTCTCAGCTGAACTCAGGGACAGGAAGGACACTGGTCATCTTTCTTCCCACCTCCGCCCTCAGCCCATCCCTGGAATGGTGGTCCCGGAAGGCTGCAGAGACGGACTGTCACTGAGGACCCACAGCTCAGGCACTTGTAGACATTCACAGGAAGGAGTATCAGGGTCTTCCAAAGGAGAGCTGGTGGGGGGGTGGGGGGGTGGGAGGTGTGGTCTCTGCCCCCCTCATTTTCCCTGTCTAATTTTGGAAGTCCAGGGCACAGATCAGGCGACCCTGGGTCCTTTCTTAGACTTCCTCTTCAGCATCATTTCCTTTCCCATGGCAAGCCAGGCAGCTCAGAGGAAACCTTTCCTTCCATTCTGTCCCATCTGGACCATAATCCTTAGCTTCTCCCACAATTCCATCATCGTCTCCGGATGCCAGCATGGAAAGCTGCCTGGGGGCTAACTCCAGTTGAGGTTCAGTCCTGACCTTCCTCTCTCAGACTGCCCAGAGATGCCTGCCCTCCACAGCTGCTCACTCTGCTGGCATGTATCTCTGCCCACAGCCTCTCCTGTCACAGACCTGCTCCCCTCCCCACGGGCCACGTTTCCCAGCTCCAATAAAACACATCCCCCCAACTTTCTGTCACTGAAAACCACCCCCATCTGCCCTGATGAATCTGCACTGTCTCCTCATGTTCCAGCACTTTAATGGAGGAGTTGAATAGGCAGAGAGTGAGTTATTCCCAAAGGCGTCTGCCAGTGAAACGAGAGCCGGGCAGCTCAGGAATGCCACTATGGACCTGCTACAGGAGGCAGATTCTGGAGTGAGACACACCTAAGCCCAAACCCCACTCTACCATTGGCAAAAATATGACTGAATTTGGACACACTCCCTAATGCCTCTGTGAAATGGGAATAACAACAGATCCTCATAATGAAGAAAAGAACAAGATCCAGCTGTAGGGCATCTTCTTAATTAGTGATTGATAGCAGAGGGCCCAACCCATTTTGAGTGGTACTATCCCTGGGCTGGTGGTCCTGGGTTCTATAAGAAAGCAGGCTGAGCAAGCCATGAGGAGCAAGCCAGTAAGCAGCTCCCCTCCCTGGCCTCTGCATCAGCTCCTGCCTCCAGGTTCAGGTTCCTGCCCTGTTTGAGTTCCTGTTGTGACTTCCTTCAGTGATGAACAGTGATGAGGAAGTGTAAGTCAAATAAACCCTTCCCTCCCCAGGTAGCTTTTGGTTATGGTGTTTCATTATAGCAATAGAAACCCTAAATAAGACAGGTCAAAATGGCTACCACCCCAATGTCACGGGGCAGGGTTTTCCAAAGCAGACCTAGGAGATGAAGATGGGATCTAGGGAAGCATACGGCGGGACTGGTCTTTGATCCCCTCAGACTGAAGGACTGGCAAGTGGGTGGGTGTGTCTCCATGTCTGTGTGTGACTGGGTTATCTCCCTGCTACATATACAACAGGTCCTTGGATGAGGAAGTTTAAGGACCTATTATCCAGGCCTGCTTCTACTGCTAACAAGCTGCATAGCTGCCACACCCTGGGACTCAGGGTCTTCAGGTGCAAGGTGGCAGGCTGGAGTTGACATTCTCCACCTTTCAGATCCAATGTTCTACAGCCCCATGCCAAGGCCAACCCATCAGCTCACGAGACACACAGCACTGCTGCTGGTCTGACCTAGGTTGGGACGTAGGACAGAGGAGACAGCACCCTGGCCATGGGGAAAATGGCCCATATAGAGGAATGGAAAAATGAAGAAAGGTCTAAAAACACTGCCACCACAGTACCAATACTAGGGAGCCTGCACAGTGGAAGCCAGACAGAACAACAGCCCACTGACAGGCTTCCAGGGAGGCCAGGGACCCAGAATAGCCAAGGAAGGAAGGATAAATAAGGAAGGTCTTTAAATGTGTGGCTGACCACAGGCAGACCACAGGGGCCAGAAAAGAAGCGAGGAGTTATTGAAGCAGACATCGACAGGGCTGGGCTGGGGGAGAGACGGCTGCTGTGCCTCAGAGCTACGGTCTATGGCAGGTATCCAGCCAAGCTGAACACAGAGGATTCCTATCAACTTTGCTCACCTCTCCAGAGCGGGTGCCTCAAGAACAGTGTTCTCGGGGCTTAGCCTCAGGTGGGGTCCTTCTTCAGCTGAGGCTAGCTTATATCCTAACCTCCCTTTTTTGAGTGATACTTGTTATCTTTTAAGTATTTTATAGTGGTGCGACAAACACAATTAACAGGGTGACACACTGGTTCCCTGGGCCAGATCCTGGCCGCCATCGTCACTGATAGGAATCTAGCCCCATCCTGTCCCCTTGGAGTTCCCACTACAAGTGAGGGGCTGAGGATGGAGATGCTATGCCCCGGGGCACAGCCTCCTCCTCCTCTGGTCCTCTACAGAAAACACTTCTTGGCCCCTACCAAACAAAAGTGTTTAGGTCTTGAGCAAGCAGCTTGGTCACATTCCGCCCACAGAGAGCCCTGCGGAACTGACCCTTGGCTCAAGAAGCAGAAGGTAGACCCCTTCAAGGGTGCCCAGTCTCCTGACTTCCATCAGCACCCCTCCCCCCATGCCTGTGCTTTCTGATGGTCACAGCAGATGAGCCCCTCTGGGCCTGGCTTCACTCATCGGGGCTGAGAGCTCTGTGCACACAGCCACGGGGAGCTAGACCGCATTCACCCCCCACCCCCCCCACACACACACACTTCTGCAGGCAGCCCTTTATGTGAGTGCACTCACTGAGCCACTCCTAACGCTGGGCATCTGGGTGGCATCTGCTTTCAAGCTGTCAGGGACAATGCGCTAAGAAGATTCTAGTTTGCATCTCCGATGGACCTAGACATAGGCCCCATGGGACAGTCACGGAGGGGAGAACTCTTGAGGCTCATGTTGTACACAGCGGGGGTGGAAGGACAGAGGTTTCACCTCAGAGTGTACCCAGTGGGCTGTCTGCTTATTGTCCCATGGCATTAGCAAGTTGGAAGTGGAGGCCGGTAGAACCTGTGAGCAACTACCACAGGGCCCCAGCATCTGGAACCCTAGGACCAGGCATCTAGGACATCTGTGCCTAAGGCTGAGGGTCCTCCAAGAGAACTATTCCCCAGCACAGGCTTCAGAACCAGGCCCATGAGCCAGGATCCAAAGTACAAGGAAGGTTCTTCCTGGAGATGTTCATGGTGGCATGGGACACCCATGACAAAGATGCCCATGTGGGTACAACTCATGATTTCCCAAAGTTACTTGGCCAGAGAAGCCTTTTGTGAGAGAACCCTCTTCAGAACCCACTTTGAGAAGGTCTGCTCTGATTTCCTAAGGCCCCTCTGGTCCTAAGGCCTGGTCTCCAGCAACGTGTTTCTCAAAGGCTACTCAAGGCTGTCCCAGAGAGGAAGGAACAACTCCTTTCCATGCCCGTGCTTGGTCCCCACCCACCCAGGAGGTGGGAAAAGTACTCACTGCTCTGGGAGGCTCCCTCCCCTGAGGTGGCTTCAGTATCTGTGAGAAAAAGAGAGAGAGAGAGAGGAAGGAGGTAGGCAATTGGTAAAGATGAAGGCAGGGCAGCGCTGTGCCAAGGGAGAGACCGTGAGCAGAGCAGCTGGAGGGAGTCCGGAGTGCTGTCCACCCATGGATGCTATGAGGGACAAAGGCTCATTTCTACCCCAAGGCTCAAGTTCACCTGGGCCTGAACCTGGGCTTCTCTTCCCTGCCCCCCGGCTCAGGAGGGGCAGGTGCCAGCTCATTTGTGCCCTGAACTCCAGAATGGGAAACTAAGGAGCTGCTGGCCCCTCTCTTGAGTTGTCAAGAGGAACATGAGATGGTGTGAGCACATGGCCTTTGGGGGAGGGGGAGGTGATACTCCTACTGAGCATCCCTAGAGCCCCCAAGGCCTAACTCCCCTCCCCCGCCCCCCGACACACACACACACACACACACACACACACACACACACACACACACACACACACACTATTTGTCTCACACCAAGAAGGCTTCTCCCTTCCTCCATGCCCCTTCTCCTATGGCTGAAGGAGGTTGAACTCTCAGGGTCTCTAGGGACACCAGGCAGAGGATGGGGCAGCCGGGCGCCACTCACCTCGGTGCGCCCGCACGTGGGTCTGGAAGCAGTTGTAGTACTTGTACTTCTTGCCGCAGATCGCACATTCATAGGACCCTGGAAAACAGCAGGGAAAAGTGAGCTACTGTGCCACCACAAGGCCCAGGACCCCCAAGTGTCACTGGGCAGGGATGGTCCCTTGGCACATAAAAGGGTATCGAGGACCACAGAGACAGCATTGAGCTGGAGTTCATGAAGCCTGGATCCTACATCCACCTACAACCATCTCTGTTCCCCGGCTTCCAAATCTGCAGGATAAAGATGACAGCCTGGACTGAGTTCTGCACGTACACATTGAGAGGAAAAAGGAGAGGGACCCAGAGTGCTGGGATGAGCCACCACACCATAAGGATGTCACTCCAGCATGGGACAGAGAGGAAGACCACAGGCTTCAAATCAGGCCACAGGGGTTCCGGTCCCCATTCTGCACCTGCCATCAGTCCGACCTTGGTAATCTCTCTATAGTAGGCTGTGTTCTGTGCACCTCCTTCCAGCTGGTTCTTCACACCCCTAGCAAGTGTCCAGTCCCACTATAGACAAGCTCACCAAGAACAGCAGTCCACATCTGCCAAGGAGCCGTGGTGCTCTCAGACACTGAGAATACCCCACAACACACACACACACACACACACACACACACACACACACACACACACACCTGACTTCAGCTGCTTGGAGCCTTTTCCCAGGTGCAGAGAACTAAAAAGGCTGACCCCCAAAATGACCCACCATGTAGAGTCTGGGACAAAGTCCATGGCAGGGAGGCTGGACACAGCCAACCTGCCCGGGACCCCAGATAAAGAGCCTGCCCATCTCCAATGGGCAGAGCCCTCCTGCAGGCTTGAGACTACTTGGGCCCAGCTTCCACCTTCTAGAACAGGTTAGGCCAGGAAGCATGTGCAAGAGGTCTTGGTCCCAGGACAGGTCATGCTCAAGCTGCTGGATCTGGGGGCCTAGGCACGTGACTTTTCAGGAAACGGCTGGCACCCAGCAGTCAAGGCGGGAGCAGACTCCTTCAGCGCGAAGGAGCTCGACTCTGCCATTCACAGGCCGTGCCTAAGTCTCTTCTTTGGAGAAGGCAAGGGAGTTAATGGGAAGACTGAACACACAAGAACCACGTTGGCTGAAGACCCATGGGTAGTGGTAAGGATCACTAACTGCCTCTCTTTTCTTCTGTGCCCAGAAGCAGAGACTCTTCTGTCAAGCGCCTGGGAGAGTCTGTATGCCAACCCCGCTCCTCCTCTCGAACCCACTTTCACTTGTCTACAGCTTGGATTCCTCACGTGCCAACAGGACTGTGGCTGCTGCCTCTCACAATGAGAGCAGGGCACACAGACAGCACACGAGCCTCTGGCCCGGAGGAAGCACTAGGGCAAATGACCCTTTCACAGGGACCGCCTAAGGCCATTGGGAAACACAGATATTTACATCAGGACTCATCACAGTAGCAGAATTACAGTAACGAAGTAGCAACAAAAATATCTTTATGGCTGGGGTCACCACAACACGAGGAACTGTATTACGGGGGTCGCAGCACTGGGAAGGTTGAGAAGCACTGTTCTAGGAGACTATGGCCAGTGCCCGTGTTACTGCGAGTTACTTCAGGGCCGCTGGCATCCTAATCCCGCACAGCACCGGGCAGTCTGCCTTTTAGGGTTGCGTGGACATCACCCCTGCCACAATGGGAAAGATACAAACGCGAAGCGACAGAGCACACACATTTCTCTGCACTCAGCCCCGTAGCTGGCACACAGCGAGGACTCAGTATTTCATGGTGGTTTGCTGCCATGCTCATCCATCACCAAGCGATAACTTCCTGACTGTCTTCTTGGCGCCTCCACCCCCTCTAACAGTTTCTGCCTGTTTCTTTCCACCAACCAAGGATTTATTGAGCATCGGAGATGGCCAGGCACTGAGGCTCGGCAGTGAGATAGATGTGATCCCTGCCCTCCGTCTAATGGGGGGCAGATAGGTCAGCAGGCCTGGGGGTAACTTGGTGACGGTGTCGTGACAGCCAGAGTAGGACCTGGAGGCTCGAGGTGGGACCCTGGCCCGGTTGTAGAGGAGTGCAGTCTACAGAGTCAACACTGTTGACAATGAGCGCCTTTAAGGCAGACCACCTCTTCTGCTGGTGGAGAGCTGAGAGTTCATGCTGCCTTGTTGTGAGGCTTCTGACCATCTCCCTACCCCTGACAGAGGGAGGATAAGCACCACACGCTGGCAGGAGGGACTCCGAAGCTCACCTTCCGATCACCCTCAGTCCCGGGGCTCCAGGATCCCTGTGGGCAGAAGGTGTTCATGGACAGAGAAAAGAGAGTGGTGGCCTCCCCGAGCAGTATCCGCAACCAACCGAGGTCTAAGTCTTAACTCCCTGAGGTCAGTCAGGAGAAGCCCCAGGAGTCCTCTCTGTGAAGCGACCGTCATGGCGATGAGACGTGGTGAGACTGTGAGTCTCAGCAGAAGGCCTGGTTACTGCTGGCACTCAGCAAGGGAGAGCTGTGGCTACCACCAGCATGTCAAAAGCGTTTTCCTCAGAAGCGAATTTCTAGCATGCACAGGAGGAGGAGGAGGAGGAGGAGGAGGAGGAGGAGGAGGAGGAGGAGGAGGGTCACAGCCAACAGAGACAGGGCAAATGCTCAACACATGGCCCTGTGCTGGTGAGACACAGGCACACAGCTGCTGCAGGCTGGAACGTCCTGCAGGGAAGGATGGAGGTACCAAACACACAGGTGGCTGTGGGACCATTCTTCTCCGTGGCTGTCAGTGGCCCAGAGGAAGTCTTGCTGAAATTGTCCAGAGAATCTAGACCACCAGATTTCCAGACGTCCTGTCATTCCTGAGTATAGACTCAAGATTTGTTCACAATGGCCGGATGGGGAGCGGGGGAGGGTGGCCCCTCAGGCCCTGAGATATTAGCAGAGTTTGCTTGCTCAGGGTATGCAGCTGGCCACCATGGCCAGCTCTGCCCACCCTCCATGCTGACCCGATCAGGCCTCGTCCGTCCCTCAGCCATCACGTACCAGATGCATATCTCAAAGCTTGGTCAAAAATCCAGGTCCCTGAATACCGGCTCCGAACAGATCCACCGTGGGGGCTGCCTTCTGGAGCTTTTCCATCTGAATTACGTAAGAAATCAGAAAGAGCCCTTAACATTGGAGAATGCCTTACGATTGAGCTTTGGGTCAAGGCCAGCCAGGAGAAGGGGGTAACCAGGTACCTGGGCTATCAGGGCCTCAGTCTCCGTAGCTGACATCAGTAAGAGTAGTTAGGGCCATGTGGCAACCTCCTCATTTGAAAACTTGTGCTGGCACCTGGGTGAGGTGGCACACACCTATAATCCCAGATCTCAGGAGGCAGAGGTGGGAGGATGGCAGGTTCAAGGTTAGCCTGCTTCACTACCTAGTGAATCTTAGGCCAGCCTGAGCTAAAGAGCCAGACCCTTTCTCAAAACAAATAAACAGGGTTGGGGAGACAGCTCAGCTGGTATAGTTCTAACATTATAAGCATGAGGATCTGAATTTTATCCCCAGAAACCACATAAAAGACACTGTGGTGCACACTCCTAATCCCAGCACTGGAGGTCAGGACAGAGAGATCCCTGGTGCTGGCTAGACAGCCAGCTTATCATACTTGGTGAGTTCTGAGCCAACGAGAGACCCTGCCTGGATCCACGAAAAGGAGGGATGTGGTACCTGGGAGGAATGATACTGAGTACCTGAGGTTGTCCTGTGGCCCCTACACACATGCATGCATGCACCACACACACACACACACACACACACACACACACACACACACACACACACGAATATGTATCCCTCCAAACATGTATACATGTGCATACACACACACACACACACACACACACAAATATTAGTATTGACCATGGTCATTCATGTGTTCTCCAGGGCTGCTAGGGGGCTGCTAGGAGGGCAGAAGCAGCCAATAGGCCAACCCTCCTGAGGCTTTGTTTTCTTGGAATTCTCATTTACACATGAGCATAACACTCCCCAGCCCCCAATAAAAAGTTCCCAATAAAATGATCCTTGAAGGAGACACATGACATGCTTACTTTGACCTCTGTCCACCTCTCATGGCTACCACTGACCCTTTTTGGTGCTGGGGCACTGGAGGAATGCCTCTGGTACTGCCAGCTCAGACCAACTCCCACCACTGCCCGCTGCCCCAACCTCCACCCCTAGCCCTGGGACTCCTGTCCTGCATGCTTCCTCTTTGGCTGGCTCCTCTGTGAAACACTGCAGTGGCTGTCACCTGGGACATCTCGGAATGGGGCTGGCCTCTGACTCCGCACAGCTGGGGAGCAGAGATGGAGGCAGGCACATGCAGGAACCTGTCCAGGCTGCAGGGTTGGGGCGGGGGGCGGGGGAGTACAAGATGCCAGCTCAGGGGCTTCTCCCATTAGTTCAACACATCTTCAAAGCTCCGGAGAAGAGGGGTCACTAGTATCTCCATTTTTCAACAGAGGGAAGGGAGGACCAAGGAGGTGACACATCCTGACTCAAGGTTGCTTGGTTCCACCAAACTGAGTGTCACACCATCAACTTCATAGGGGACGTCCTCAGGGCAGCGCCGGTGAACAGGTACAGGCCTTGCTTCCCTTCCCCACCACCTTTCCACTCCTCTGCATCACTGGTGAGCCCATGGTCCTGGAGATGCCCAGGCCTGGGGCTCTGGGGCTGGTGAGGACACACACTCAAAGCCAGTGCCCAGGATTCCAGAGCTAAGCCTGTGCCAGCACAGCAGGTCTCTTTCTGGATGCCAAGCAAGTTATGTTCTCCTTAGTGGTGAGGTCATACACTCTCCAGTCCTTACCAGATCTGACACCACGTCCCGGACGGACTCTCCCATCTGGGAGGGACTCTCCTGCTTTGAAGGGGTGGGCTGGCAGGACTTGCCTGCTCAGTTCAGTCTTTCCCCATCCCTGTCCCTGCTCTTGCTTTTCCTGCAAGATGGCTCCCAGGCCGCAAACAGAGTCTTGTGGGCAGCTCCCACCTAGTACTTCGCTACATCCCTGGCAGAGGCTTTGGCCTGGAGTCCTGTGGGAGAGGAATGGATGAGGGCACCAGGAGAGGAGGCAGTATTCTGAGGACAGGAAATGTGGGTAGGACCCTTGACTGCAAGTGTGTATACCCAGCTGCCATGTCCAGAGAAGCTTGGACACCTAGACAAAATATAAAATGACAGACACCCAAAGGAGATGGACGGAAGATCACAGACCTAAGGCCCATGGATACCTATCCCCCTCACCCCCCAGTTCCCAGAACTTGATAAAGACAGGCTTTGGAGTGGGAAGATGCGACAAGTGGGCTTCCTAAGGCTCTCAAGGGCTTGGCCTCAAACTGTATGCCCTCTGGAGCAAGGCCTTCTCGAAGGGGCACTTGAGGACAGTGGCTGTAAGAAAACTGCTTCCCTCCTGTCAACTTCAAAGCACTTTCCCCCTTAACCCAATGAATCAGAACAGGGGGAGGCACTGCCCACTGGTCTCCTCTGTCACTCTCTCCTTCAGCTTCTCCCAGTTACCAAGGAGGACCAGTCTGCCTGTGCCAACTGCCCAGCACTGACCACTAACCACTCACCCTTCCGCAGGGCCAGTGCTCTCCCTGGGGCGGGACAACACTGACGTTCTGAGCACAGAGAAGTGACTGGATCTAAAGACTGGGGACAGACAGCCTGCTCTTGGTTCAGGGGTTTCCAGTTCTCCCCTCTCCCTCGGAATGGAGATGGAGGGGCAGGGAAAATGGCTCAGTTGGTGAAGCGGCCGCACCCACACCAAAGCCAGGGGTGCCGGCGCACAGCTGGAATCCTACTGCTGGAGATGGCAAAGACAGAAGGATCCTTGGAGATCCAGTCAGACTAACCACATAACTGAGCTCCGGGTTCAGCAAGAGACCCTGTCTCAAAAAAATAAACAGAGTAAGAAAGACACCCCACACTGACTTCTGGCTTCCAATCCCGTATTCTTGCACATGTGGACACACACACACACACACACACACACACACACACACACACACACACGCGCGCGCACGCACACACACACACACACACACACACACACACACGGATCTAAGAGAGCTGTAAATGAAGAGGCCATTAAAAATACTGTCTGAAGACAGACCCTCCTGTGGTTTTTGGCATACGTCTTGGAAAACTTCAAAGAACCAAGTGACACGGTGAAGCAAGCCCCATGGTCTCCGGCTCCCTGTTCACAAGCTCCAGCCCTCCAAGCGCCTTCCCTACAAACACTGAAAATCAGCACGAAAGGAGGGCCAAGTCCTGTCTCATTCTAGCAGTAAGAAATTCACAGATACATGAGCTGATAGAGAAAGAAAGAAAGCCTTACTCATTTTATCGAGAAGTGTGCTTTGGATAATTTTTTTTTATTTTTACACTTACTATTTATCTAAATTTGTTTTTGACAATTTGCATGCTAATCACAACTCGATCTGGGGGAAAAAATTAAAAGGTTTTAAAACGTAGAGCTTTATGATCCCAGGAAAATTTTTTTTTCCTCCAGAAATTTCTATTTCAATTTATGTACCTCTTGTTGTGGCAGACGAGTGTGAAACAGTGATCAATAAAAGACTTTCAAGCATAAAAAATATATTACATTAGGATAAAACCCCGTGGGGGAAGTGGACTAGAAATAGGAGTTCAAGGAGAAAAAAAGAGGATATAAAATTCCTGTCTGCTAAAGATGAGCTTGTTCGCATGCTTTTTAAAGCGACAATGGCGGGCCCTAAATAGCAGTGGCATTGTGATTATTTCCATAATTCTGCCTTTAAAAAACAATACAATATTCCAGGAATTATAACCTTTGCAACTGGTGAGAAATGAAAGACAGTCTTTTAGGAGGCACTAAACTAAAGGTGTTTGATGCACTGGTCTGTGGGGTTCCTCTCAACACTGCATTCATCCTGGGGGTGCCAATGCCCTGAGGCCTCAGCTGATGTCAGAACCTATCTTGCATTTTAGTCCACCTTTAGAGATATTCTCACAACTCTTGTCCTAACCATCCCGCAAATTTAAACCACTGAGCATCCCACACACAGCGGGGTAGACCCCAGGTCTCCTAACTTACAGCCAGGATCCCCTTCCAATAGGGATTCTCCACTCAGACCCCTTCCCAGTTTACCCCAGAGGCAGATTCAATTGCAGAGAAAACTGGGCTGGGAGGGCAGCCAGGACTCCTCCTTCCCTCGTGGCTGTAGCAAAAAAACCCCTAAGTGTTGGTTCTGGCAGGCTCAGGCACCAAGACCTGCCAACAGCCTATTGAAATAGGAAACTCACTATCAGCTGGCACTACCAAATAGGACCTGGCACCTTCGCCTCCTGGACTTGTCAAGGACCGAAGCCCACGTGGCTGTGTCTGAGTAGTTGTGGAACTCATCACTCCATCCAGAGCCACAGCCCTGTGGCTTCCTACTGCCTGGGGTTCCCTCTTCCTCCTCCACTCCCTCTCCCAGGATGGCTTTGTGGGTGTGCTTGTGTATGAGAACTGTCCTTCCTTCCCGGGTACACCTTGCACCTACTCACTGTCTAGGACACCTCCCTGCAGAATCTAGTTTCTATCTGACCCTTGATTCTTCTCTTGTAGATTGGCTGGCTGCCATCCTTCCTCTCTGTTTGCCCACCCCCAGGAGCAGAAACTCATTCCCTCGCAGGTTATATTTGGTTACCAAACCATTTCTGACACAAATGACTTCCTGGTGGCCACTCCATACTGGTTGGACCTCTTGGAATGTGTGTGTTAAGTATCCTAAAATGCTGTGGGCTGTGGATATCTAGCCTCCATCACCCTGCTCCATGTCCCTACAGGCTCTGTTGCTTCTCCAAGACACACAGTCCTAAGCTTGCTCCCGTGTCCTTCCCTACACGGTTAACACCTGGTTGGTTCAGACTTCACAAGAAGCAGAGTCCAGTGGAGGCAAGACTGTTCCCTGGCTCTGTCTCCATGAACACGAACCCTCCCTGGGCCACACTGCCCCTGGTTGGTTCCACAGCATAGAGAAGAGCACTCACTGATTGATGGTACATTTTGATAACAGGGATGAGTGCCTGCCATTCTTATCTCTTGGGACCAGACAATGGTCCA